TTCGCATTCCAATCGCCAGCAGCAACGAATCTCGGTCCCAGCTGACCAAACAATGCCAAGAAGTCGTCCTCGGACCACTCCTGCAATGGGGGCAGTAAATGGATGAGAACACTAGTCGGCCGCCATCAGGCAGGGTCAGGGCAGCAGATACACACTGAATGTGGTTTGTTGCTATATTAGGCAGGGCAATATGAAGGATTCCAGCTCTGATTAGGAGCAGGGATCCCCCACGACCAGTCCCAGATGGGTGATTAGCACTGTACGTACACTTAACGCTGAAGGTCTCTGAGGTTTTAAAATGAGGCTCAGAGACCATCAAAACGTCAACTTCGTGTCTGCGTGTAAATGCCGCAAGTTCGGCTGTCTTCACTCGGAGTCCCGAGGCGTTCCAAAATACAATCTTTAGATTGCTGTGTTGGCGGGTAGAGTAAATAGCATTATTATTATACATTCCTGGCATAAGAATTCGCCTGAATGCTAGCATATAAACAATCCGTTAGCTTCGTCATTTGTGCAATTAATACATCCATTTTCCCTTCTAGTTTCTGAGTAGATTCAGCAGCAGCGGCCGCATGCTGGATCCGCTCCTGTGTCAGCAATGTGATGAGGTAGTCCAGTTTCTGACTGAGTTCATCGCTAGGACGGACGCTCTGATTGCTCACCGTGCGCTGGAATCCAATTGTGGTCGCTGTGGGTGGCACCGACTGCCATACTTGCCTCCCTGGAAGAGGCTGGGAATGACTCGCTGGCTGCCTTGTGCGAAGGGCCTCAGCATAACTGCTCATCTGAGCTGGAGGAGCAGGAGCTCTTGCGCCTGAGCGCGCTCGCCGGCGGCCCGGCTGCTGCAGTGCTGGAAAGCCCTGCTGGTTCATGACGGGTGGCTGGCGGGGAAGCCGCAAACCCTGAGCGGAGGGTAAGGTAGGCATCGAAAGTTTACTCAACATCCTGTTGGTCTTTTCTCATCCGTTATTCCTTCTGTTGCAGTACTCTTTGTATTTGATACAACCACGGTAGCTGGCAACATGGGGACCATTACAATTGGCGCATTTCGGCACATCCTCCCGCTTCTTGGGGCAGTCCTTGGGGTCATGCTTCTCCCCACACTTCAGGCATATAACTGCACGGCTGCAGTAGTTCTTGGAGTGCCCAAACATCTGGCACTTGTGGCACTGGGGAACGCCTGGCGCGCGTATGGGCTTCTCAACCTTGATCCGTTGGCTGCAAATTCCCGTTAGCTCATAAATACTATTATTATTGTCCTGAGGCTCAAGCTGGACCTCGAATAGGTCCAACGGCTCCTTTGTGAATCTTTTAAGTATATTGGCAATATGCCTCACCTTGTATCCAAGCCTACCGAGCTGTTCGCGCACCCAGTCTGTGGGTGTGGAGCGGTGCAGGTGACGTATGACGATACGCATACCCCTTTCGCTTCGCAGGCGAAATGTATGGTGATCCACACCTTCCCCCTCAGATAAGAGCGAATTAGGGCCCCATGGCCATCTATTGTATGGCACATGACTTTGAGAGACCTATTAGCAGCAGGCTTAGTGTCATATGTGCCTGCGCCAATGGCATTGTCAAAGCATTGGAGCAGGGGAAAGATATCAGAAACATTAGGAATGTATATAGGGGCTGGCCGCACAATTCTGGCGTCAGCAGTAGCAGCAGCATTGGGTGCGTGCGCAGTGGTAGGGGCAGGCGGGGGGTGGTGTGAGAAGTAGAGGGCCTGTTTGTGGGAACAGGTTCTTCGGCTTCCGTCTCTCCCTCGCTGCGGTCAGTGTCAACATCCATATCGTCGTTTGCTAAGTCGTCAGCATCCGAGAGTATATTGTAGTAGTTCGTTATATTCATCTGGTTAGAGTCAGGCTTCTCCTTGGAGGATACTGTCCGTTTGATCTTCTTGGCCGACGCCTTTGTAATCGGCGAGCCCAAGGTGGTCGTCCGCTTCTTGTTACGGGCCTCAGACTCCGCATTCAGCTTAGCCATTACTTTCCTCTCCCTTGCCAATTTCTCCTGCTGTTCCTTGAGGATCTCGTACAGAGTCGGCTGGCTCAGCACAGGTGCTGCAAGGGCAGTAGGATTGGTGGAGACAGTAATGGCAGAACTGCCAGGGGCACAGGTAGCAGTCGAAGCAGCAGCACGAGCAGCACCAGTAGAAACTGGAGGACGTTGAGCGGCGTGGGCAGCTACACCAGCAGCACTAGCAGTAGTAGGAACTGTAGCAGCTGGAGGGCGTTTAGCTGCGGCGGCAGCTACGCGAGTAGGGGCGGTGGCTTTGGCAGCAGCAGGAATGGCAGCACAGGCAGTAGCAGCAGAGGCTCTGGTTAGCATGGCAGAGGGGGGGGGCTAGCAATGGCTTGCTTGACAGTGCAGCGGACGGGGCCTGCATCAACTTGGCTGCAGCGGCAGCTGAAGTTGATGGCATATCACTGGTCAAATCTGCCAATGAGGTCGAGCGACAGGAAAGGGGGCGTAAATCACTCTGCGAAATTCCCGACATTAGTAGCGGGGGGGAATGCAGATCGATTTCGTTGTCTGAGCAGGGAGCACTTGAGGCCAGAGTGGTCTTCTTTTTGGATTTGGGGCACGGTTTACGTACCATTGTTTGTTCTTTTGCAGCTTTATTAGCGCAAAGGCAAGTGTGTATATGTGGGAGGGGGAGGGGTCAGCAGCGGCTGAAGCCTACCCCACGTTTTTTCACTTTCGGCACTTTGGTTATGTAGTATGTGTATTTCAGAGAAAAACTTGTGCACGGCACAACACTTCGCGTTGCCCCGAAATGTTTTAACAGAATATTGCACAGTGTTTACTTACACATGTTCAATATTATTAGGGATTTTTTGGCGATTTTGATGGTTTAATTTTTAATAATTGCGGAACGTTTTGATTTTTTCTGTTGTGTTCGTCTTGCGAACTAAATTGGCAGTCTCTCTTCATGTCGAACCAGTCCCATCGCCACCTGCATTAGCAGGGGGGGAGGGAGGCTGACATGAAGAGAGAACCGTTTTATTTGATTATACTCTTAAAATTAGCATATTTTACAAATAGTTTCGCGCCGGCTGCTTATCTACATTACATGTAGTTGCAGAAGTGGCTGTAAATTGGCAGGGTAACATTTGTTACGGTATTGGCTTATTTGGTATTTTTTGGTAGGTATCGATAGTTTGGCTAAATGCCAGGGTAACACTAAACTTATTGCTACTTTGTTTACATTATTTTAATTGTTTTTAATTTGTTTTCAGGTGGAGTATGCAGCCGTGAAGAACATCATTACGCCTATTGGTCTCGTCGTCAGCTGCGAAGTGGAATCCTTGCGAGTGTCGGCGCTAAACTGGGACTGCAGGACAGCATCAACAGGGCTGAAGCTGGCCGAGGTCCAGTGCATCGTCATTCTGGATGTGGATTACGATTTTCTGTGAAGGTGAGTGGATTCGTATCTGTGGAAGAATAAAAGGGGTTTTAGTTTCTTTTCAGCCGCCGCCATCATCTGGATTCTGGAGCTGCCGCCGTTCATCATCAGGTTCTCTGCTGGGGCCGTCATTTGCCTGCGTAGCAGCTGCATTTGCGCTACTACGGCTGATTTCCATGTTGTGTGTTGCAAATGGATTGCGCAGCCAGTTCTCGCGTCTGACTTGGAGCAGTATTGTTTGGATGGCTGTCAGGCTTCTGTTGCTGTTTGGATTGTGCTCTTCAATCATTGCGGCATACCTTGGCCTGGCCAGCCTTCTTGGAATGTATGGATGCGTTGCGATCTCACAGGCAAGTAAGTTTCTGTGCTGCATTAGCCGAGTGTAGTAGTTCCTGCAGAGTCTGTTAAAAACTTCTTCCACAGTTGCTACTTGGAGATCCGCATGCAGTGCGTTGTTGCTCATATCCATTTGTATTCCCAGGTATGGCATGACGGATTTTTTGGCCAGGAGTTGCCCGGCTAACCTTGGAGCTGGAGTGTGTTGCTGCGCAGGTGAGAGAGTGTGTAGAACATGAGCAGTTTTTGCAAGACTGATGGTTATTCCCCATTTCTTAGACCATGATAATGCATCAGCCAGGAGCCGCTCCATATTTTCGTTGGCTTGTTTTGGACTCAGGGCAGATACGAGGTATACTGCGTCATCAGCGTACGTTGCTAGCATTTGGGTTGCGTTTGCGTGTCTTGGTGGCTGCGGCATGTCGGCAGTGTAAAGATTGTAGAGCACTGGGCCAAGTACGCTTCCTTGCGGCACTCCAGCGGTTATGTGCTTTAGGCTTGAGGTGATGTTGTTACAGCAGACGACTTTTATTTTTTTATTTATCGTTTTAACTTTGCAGAGAAGACCCTGGTGCCAGACTCTATCAAAAGCTTCCTGGATATCCATGTACACGGCACTGCAATGTCGCTGCGCTTCGTAGGATCTGAGGATAAATTGCGTGACTCGTCCGATTTGCTGTTCCGCTGAGTGCTGAGTTCTGAAGCCAAATTGATGGTTTGGAATAGCCATGGCAAAGCTTTCTTCTTCAAAGAGTCGCTTGAGGATGAGGCGTTCGAGGATTTTGGAGAAGCCTGTAAGCAGGCTGATGGGTCTGTAGGACTCAAGCCTATCACTCGGCTTTCCTGGCTTCCTTAACATTGAAATTTTTGCGCATTTCCAGAACTTTGGGAAGTGGCCGAACTGCAGAGCCGAGTTGCATATCAACAGCAGATACTCGATGGCGGATGTTGGCAGAGATTTAATGACGCGATTGTCGATGCTGTCGAAACCGGGTGCCTTTTTCGTCTTGAGCTTCTTAATTTCCGATTTGAGTTCCTGGATGGTTACAGGTCTGATTATTTGAGCAGCTACATCTGGACCGTTTTCTTGTAATACTGCGTTAATTTCTTCTCTGTCTTCTAGGGCTGCCGTGATCTTTGGCGTGAAACGTGCTTCCAGGTGCTGCGCAAAGGCCTCAGCTTTTTCCTCCGTAGTTTTGCACCAAGGATCAGCAGGAGCTTGCTGCCCTTCCGCCACGTGCCTCCTGACTGGCAGATTTGGAATGGGCTGTCTCTTGATTGTATTGGTGAGCCGCCATAGTTTCTGCATACTGTACCTATCAGTTGGGTCGATGTCGTGTAACAGTCTGTTCATTTGTTTGTCTTTTTGCAGCTTGATCCGTTTACGTATTCTGTTAGTCAGCTGATTGATAGTGCGTGCAATGAGGGGGTTGGAGCACCTATCTCTTTGGTTGATTTTGCAGAGTATTCTTTTGATCTTGATCGCTTTCAGCGTTTGCGAGTCAAGATGAAGGTTTTGCGGTCCGTACACTGTGTGCTGGTTACTTGAGGCTTGCGAGGCCAATTCAGCTGCAATGTAGATGTTCTTTTCAAGGATAGCCACTGCATCGTCTGTCGTCGCCGTTGTGAAGTTCAGTCTCCAGATGGATTCGCTGTTCAAGGTGAGCTTGAAATCTTCTGATATTTGCATTTTTTGGTAATAGTATCTTCTTTTTTCCATATTCAGGTCTCAGGAGGAGTCTAATGATTTGCATGTTGTGATCTGAACCTAAATCATATGATGTTTCGATGTGAATTAAATTGTGTCTAATACCCTTATAAACCGCAAAGTCTATAGCAGACGGCATATGTCGTCGATTTGAAGGGAAATGGGTGGGGGATCCAGTGGCCAGTATGCTTTGGTCGTTTTCCTGGATGCATTTCAGAAGTGCAGCCCCTCTTCTACAGGATCTTGCATTGCCCCACCACTGACTTTTGGCATTCCAATCCCCAGCTACGATAAATCTGCTACCCAGAGAGTCGAATACCTGTTTAAATTGTGTATCAGTCCATTCGTGTGCAGGTGGAAAATAGATCGCACCAATGTTTATTGTTTGATGGTTTTTATACCCGATACTCAAAATGAGTATTGGGGTATATTAGATTTGTGGTAAAAGTGGATGTGTGTAACGTCCAGAAGGAATCGTTTCCGACCCCATAAAGTATATATATTCTTGATCAGCATCAATAGCCGAGTCGATTGAGCCATGTCTGTCTGTCCGTCCGTCCGTCTGTCCGTCCCCTTCAGCGCCTAATGCTCAAAGACTATAAGAGCTAGAGCAACGATGTTTTGGATCCAGACTTCTGTGATATGTCACTGCTACAAAAATATTTCAAAACTTTGCCCCGCCCACTTCCGCCCCCACAAAAGGCGAAAATCTGTGGCATCCACAATTTTAAAGATACGAGAAAACAAAAAACGCAGAATCGTAGAGAATGACCATATCTTTTAGACTGCAGAATCTGAATTGGATCGTATTACTATTATAGCCAGCATCAAGAAAACAATTTCATTTTTTCTCGCCCTGTCTCTCTCTAACACACAGGTAGCATAGGCGGCTTTGCTTAGAGTAAAACATTAGCGCCTAGATCTCAGAGACTATAAAAGCTAGAGTAACCAAATTTGGTATCCACACTCCTAATATATCAGACCGAGACGAGTTTGTTTCAAAATTTCGCCACACCCCCTTCCGCCCCCGCAAAGGATGCAAATCTGGGGATATTCACAAATCTCAAAGACTATTAACGCTAGAGTAACCAAATTTGGAATCCGCACTTCTCTTAGATCTCACTATAAAACGTGTATCTCAAAATTTCGCCCCACCCCCTTCCGCCCACACAAAGGACGAAAATCTGTTGCATCCACAATATTGCAGATTCGAGAAAACTAAAAACGGGGAATCATAGATAACGACCATATCTATCAGATTGCTGAATCTGGATCAGATCAGATAATTTTTGTAGCCAAAAGGAACAAATCAATTTGCAGTGGCTACGCAGCGCGTGACATCACGCTCAGACTGATTTTCTGTCTCTCTCGCACGCACTCTTTGTCGTATCGTTTAATATTAGCGGCGTCTGCCGGAGGAAAGCCATACTGACTTAGTATCGGGTATAACTGTAGAGTTGCGGTGTCCGCAGCAACTCACAACGTTCCCCCTCGTTTATTGTTACAGCTGTGGTGCACATTTGGATGGAGTCCTCTCTTGTTGGTGCGAGGGAAATGTGCGGGATGTTGCACTTGATGATTACCGCCGCTCCGCCTCTGCTCCGGTTCGACGGGTGGTTTGCCATGTAGACGTGGTAGCCGTCAATCACTAGGTTTGTGTCTTCTTTTAGATGCGATTCCGATATCAGTAGGATGTCAATACTGTTGCCTGCCAAATAAGCGTTAAGTTCAGGGAGTTTGTTTGGAAGCCCAGCAGCATTCCAGAAAGCGATTTTGATTAAAGGGGAATTACTATGCATTTGAGGTCTCATTGACGTTTGTGGGTGGTGGGAGTCGTGCCATAAGTCGGTACAGTGTCTTCTCGATCATGGAGAGCCTAGCTTCAAGGCTCGGTTGGGGTTGTGTCTTGTTATTAGTGGTCTCGTTCCTTCGATCCGTCTGCACTTGTAGGAGAGTAATAAGCTTGTCTAGCTTCTCATTTAGGCTACTGAGGTCGGCATTATTGTTGTTGTTGTTGTTGTTGCTGCCTTGCGGTCGATTTGTGCTCTTAAAACGGCCTGCGCTCTTGGAGCGATTTCGGCTGAGGTGCTTTATGAGCTGCTCCTGCAAGCGTGTACTTGGTGTCAGCTTCCTCTTCGACATCGACCTGCGCTGTTGTTGCTGTTTCTGCTGCGCTGGGAGGCTCGCTCTGGCAATTGCAGCGTAACTCAAGGACTGCTTTGAAGTGCAGGGTGCTTCTTCTCGTGTACGGGAGCTATGGGCGTTCATCTGCTGAGTGCGTGGTTTGCTTGGCTGACGACGACGTCGGCTTTGGCTTCGGTTTCTAGTCATTGGAAGGGCAGGCATGCCCAGGTCATGTAGTAGTTTGTTAGCTTGGGCAAGTTCGCTCGGCTTCTTACGCAGCGCTGCACTTTTAAAAGCGGTACAGCCCCTGTAGCTGGCTGGGTGAGGGCCGCTACAGTTTGCCGGCTGTTGCAAGGGTTTTTGGCAAACAATTGAGGATTGCTGCCCCGCGCACTTAACACACACGAAGTCATTTCGGCAGTAATTGTGGGTGTGCCCAATGCGTTGACACCTGTGGCACTGGACAACTGGGCCGGTGTTCCTCTGCACCTCGACTTTGACTCGTTGGCCGCCCATGTTAGTAATATTCAACGCCACAGCGTTGTTTGGCTTTGGATCAAGTTGAGCTACGAACATGTTGAGGGGCTCATTGGTAGCTCGCCTCGTCATGCCCCGAATGAAAGTGGCTGTGTGGCCGTGGCTGGCCAGAAGTTCAGTGACGAATTCGCTTTCGGTGGTGTGGTGCAGGTCCCTAATGACAATTCGGTATCCCCTCTCAGACTGTAGCTGGTAGGAATAGGATGGCGTGGTACAGGCCTCATCCCTGTAATGTCTTTGCAGTACCCAGAAAGATTGCACGTCACTGCACATGACGCGAAGTCCACCTGCCGAAGTTGTCTTGGTGTGGAACTTTTCTGCTGGGATTAGCTGCGAGATTTCTTTAAGAGTGGCGGTAATGTTGGTGATTTTGGTTAGCACTATTGGTGGCGGCTTGGGTGGTCGAGTTTCAGTTGCAGGTGCCCCCTGGGGCGGTGCGGAGCGCGTGGCGTGGCGTGTGGAGTCTCCACTGGAGGGGCCGGCAGAGCTTTTGCTTGTTTGCTTCTATCTGTGTGCGCTTTCGTTGGCTTGGCTGTACCAGCACTATACATTCCCGGCATGACAAACTGTCAGCTTCGTCATTTGTGCAATTAATACATCCATTTTCCCTTCCAGTTTCTGAGTAGATTCAGCAGCAGCGGCCGCATGCTGGATCCGCTCCTGTGTCAGCAATGTGATGAGGTAGTCCAGTTTCTGGCTGAGTTCATCGCTAGGACGGACGCTCTGATTGCTCACCGTGCGCTGGAATCCAATTGTGGTCGCTGTGGGTGGCACCGACTGCCATACTTGCCTCCCTGGAAGAGGCTGGGAATGACTCGCTGGCTGCCTTGTGCGAAGGGTGTCAGCATAACTGCTCATCTGAGCTGGAGGAGCAGGAGCTCTTGCGCCTGAGCGCGCTCGCCGGCGGCCCGGCTGCTGCAGTGCTGGAAAGCCCTGCTGGTTCATGACGGGTGGCTGGCGGGGAAGCCGCAAACCCTGAGCGGAGGGTAAGGTAGGCATCGAAAGTTTACTCAACATCCTGTTGGTCTTTTCTCATCCGTTATTCCTTCTGTTGCAGTACTCTTTGTATTTGATACAACCACGGTAGCTGGCAACATGGGGACCATTACAATTGGCGCATTTCGGCACATCCTCCCGCTTCTTGGGGCAGTCCTTGGGGTCATGCTTCTCCCCACACTTCAGGCATATAACTGCACGGCTGCAGTAGTTCTTGGAGTGCCCAAACATCTGGCAAACATCTTCTCAACCTTGATCCGTTGGCTGCAAATTCCCGTTAGCTCATAAATACTATTATTATTGTCCTGAGGCTCAAGCTGGACCTCGAATAGGTCCAACGGCTCCTTTGTGAATCTTTTAAGTATATTGGCAATATGCCTCACCTTGTATCCAAGTCTACCGAGCTGTTCGCGCACCCAGTCTGTGGGTGTGGAGCGGTGCAGGTGACGTATGACGATACGCATACCCCTTTTGCTTCGCAGGCGAAATGTATGGTGATCCACACCTTCCCCCTCAGATAAGAGCGAATTAGGGCCCCATGGCCATCTATTGTATGGCACATGACTTTGAGAGACCTATTAGCAGCAGGCTTAGTGTCATATGTGCCTGCGCCAATGGCATTGTCAAAGCATTGGAGCAGGGGAAAGATATCAGAAACATTAGGAATGTATATAGGGGCTGGCCGCACAATTCTGGCGTCAGCAGTAGCAGCAGCATTGGGTGCGTGCGCAGTGGTAGGGGCAGGCGGGGGGTGGTGTGAGAAGTAGAGGGCCTGTTTGTGGGAACAGGTTCTTCGGCTTCCGTCTCTCCCTCGCTGCGGTCAGTGTCAACATCCATATCGTCGTTTGCTAAGTCGTCAGCATCCGAGAGTATATTGTAGTAGTTCGTTATATTCATCTGGTTAGAGTCAGGCTTCTCCTTGGAGGATACTGTCCGTTTGATCTTCTTGGCCGACGCCTTTGTAATCGGCGAGCCCAAGGTGGTCGTCCGCTTCTTGTTACGGGCCTCAGACTCCGCATTCAGCTTAGCCATTACTTTCCTCTCCCTTGCCAATTTCTCCTGCTGTTCCTTGAGGATCTCGTACAGAGTCGGCTGGCTCAGCACAGGTGCTGCAAGGGCAGTAGGATTGGTGGAGACAGTAATGGCAGAACTGCCAGGGGCACAGGTAGCAGTCGAAGCAGCAGCACGAGCAGCACCAGTAGAAACTGGAGGACGTTGAGCGGCGTGGGCAGCTACACCAGCAGCACTAGCAGTAGTAGGAACTGTAGCAGCTGGAGGGCGTTTAGCTGCGGCGGCAGCTACGCGAGTAGGGGCGGTGGCTTTGGCAGCAGCAGGAATGGCAGCACAGGCAGTAGCAGCAGAGGCTCTGGTTAGCATGGCAGAGGGGGGGGCTAGCAATGGCTTGCTTGACAGTGCAGCGGACGGGGCCTGCATCAACTTGGCTGCAGCGGCAGCTGAAGTTGA